TTGTCTCTGCCTACCCCGAAAGGAGAAAAGCGTGAGTTTAGGTATCTAAGGAGTGCTGTGTTTTGTAATGAAAATTGGAAATTAATACGAAGTTGTAAATTTATTCGATCTGTTTCGGTCAAACTTAAATCAGTTTTACCTTCAACCCGCAGTAGAGTTTCCGATATCTATTTCTAGAGTGGATCCAAATCACTGCTCGCACTAGTAAATTATTTGGACTACGCAATATTTTGTCCTCAGTTCATTTATCAAATTTATATTATCAATATTAAAAAGCTGAAGAGTTTGTTTGTTTGATTGAACGCGTTAACCGCAGGAACTACTGGTTCGAATGGCAAAGTCTTTGAGTTTTTGAATAGCCCATTTATCTAGGAAGGCTATAGGTCATAGAACATCAAGTTACGACCAAAAGGAGCCAAGCCTCAATGAAAAATGTTACAAAAACGGAAAAATTATTTCCTTTCAATCAGTTTATATATGACGTAACGCACTTTAAAAACTCAACCGAATTGAGAACTTCAACTTTTGGGGCTGCGGAGTCGGTTAGCAAAAGGCAAACTACATCATTAACATTTAAATTTTGACTAGGTACCTATACAATTTACTTCCGTCGGGGTACCAGGGATTTCTTTTCTAGAATACACCTGGTTCGCCGGCTACTGTTACCCGAGACGGCGCGGCGTGCAGTTTTAGTCGGTCAGAGTCCGACATAACCAACCCACCGACGGTGCGATGCGGGGTCTTCGGAGGAATAGTACAAAAAAAAACAATGTAGGTACTACAGTTTTGATGATCCTCCACGCCTTTGTCACATAGAACCAAACAAATTATACAATCAAACGTTTACTAATTAGTTCTAATCCGAGTTTACATCTGAATTATTTATTCAATGATGTTTACAAAATGGGTATGGTAATTAAGGATTGTAAATGTATCCATCTTGATTACAGTATTTTTGTTTCTAGAACTGTCGCTATTGACAAGTCATTTTAAACTGGTATCTTTTGTCACCGTTCCTGGTAAACAACTAGAATAGGTGTAAATGTTTTATTTACGCAGTGTGAAATGTGTTCTGTCTTTTTCGAGAATAGTGTACGTAGTGTATTGACTTGTTTAAAAATATATGAATAGCGCAAAAAAACTATTTTCGTCAAAGTTTTGTTCAAAAACATGACTTTAATGACTACACAATGACAACAACTAGATTGACATGGGTGGATTGTACACACTTAATGTTGTATACATATATAAACGCCTGTGCCCCGGAAAGGATAGGCAGAGATAGTTCGTACTCACATAATAAAAGGCAAGTCTATTTATAGCTGTCACCCGGGGTCTCTGGCATTTAAGATAGGAAAATTGGTATAGTTTTGAGAGGGAACGGTAGATAAGTAAGAAAGAGATATTGCTATAGGGATGGATATCCAAGTGTTAGCAATAGTTGGAACGAACTAACGAACGAATCTATTCGTACTGGCTAATGACACGGAAGGTCCAAACCATATTTTTATAATCTATTGAAAACGCATGCAATATCTAAAATGTAACCCCTCGGCCGCCTAGGAAACTAAGTTTCTAAACCAATTTCGAAATAAGAATAATATTTCTTCTTTCGTAACTGATAAGTATCATATAGTATCACATTACATAAGGAAGAAACTGCAACAAGATGACTCGATATACAGACAGACTGCGCTGATTCCATTCTATTGTTTCAACTATTGAAGCCCACGTATTACAAACAACACATAATGTCGGTGACTTCCTTCTAGTTACAATGTACACAAAGGAAAAATTTAGAACAGTAATATATGCAATACTCTATTAGTTACGCTCAATAATTAAATATACCAGAACTAGATCCAACTCCGAGTCTAGTCCCGAAAAATCCCTCTGAGAGGCTTTTTAAAGATACACATTATAATGTTGTTTTACAATGCTCATCAAATTTTTCAAAAAATTAACAATTCATAAAGTAGTAAGTAAGTAACTTTGAAAGCAGATGAGATTTTTTTTATGTTAGAGAGGGCAGACGAGCAGACGGGTCACCTGATGGAAAGTGACCATAAAAGTACCTTTTTTACCAGCTACTATGTTCTGGGGCAATCTATCTGGGTGTTATGACTGTATATGTGTTCGGTACATTCACATAAGCAATAGATAGATAATATATCTTTTGTATGTGTGTGTATTCGAAGAAGAAATTATAAGCAAAGTAAAGATACTATACAAGTCTAATTACGGACCATTAAAATTCTAATAACATGTAAGTAGATTCCGAGCACTTAAGGACGTCTGATTCATCTGTGGCAATACAAGGCAGCGTCGGGTCAAGCTGAGTGAGATCACGTACCGGCTGGACCGGCACTTATCTAACATGGTCACGAGCGTGCTCAGTGTAAACATGTTTTGTTTACTGTTTTACTTGCATAATAATAATTAATTCGTCATTTTTTGTAATAAGTATAATAATCATTATCAACTGATCGTTTTTACACCGTAGGGAAAGTTTTGAATTGAGCAAAGAGTTTTAGACTGAAGTATCTTGGATGAGTCTGGTCACATATATGTAGATAATAAGGTCCATCGTATCGTACGCTCTGAGACTAAAGAAGCAACAAAACATATTTTTATGTCTGAAATACACAGAAAAGAAGTCTTTCTGTCTTTAAATAATTAAAGTTCTGTAGTCTCAGAAGTGTAGATAGCTAACATTTATAAACAAGTAGCCCCTCGCGCAAATCATTCTTAATGTCCCAACAGAAATGTTTTTTTCCGTTTTTACAACATATTTAATTGATGTACGGCTCCTACTGGTCGTGGAGTTGTATAATAAGCCGACCTTCTTAGAGTTCAGTTCAAAACTAAAATTGCTTTACAGATGCTATAAAGTTGTTCCTATCTCAGTTTCAAGAGAACAAGGATGTCGCTTACAATTTTATTACATGCATTGCAACCTTGTTCGAGATTCGATCAATACCAAAGCATTAGGAATAGTTTTACGAAAAACTCTCAGAAGAGAGAATAAAGTACACAGAGTTAATCTTTTTTATGCATGTTGTATTTATCCTGCAATTTAATTGTCATTAGGTGTATTAACTAAAAAAGAAAATTAGAATTAAGCGTAGTTCGTAATTTATAATGTGTCTACTAGTTAATATACCTAGCTTTGTCAGAAAAATAAAAGAGCAACAGCTCTATGGTCTATACATGATGTACGTAGTTAGGTACTTTATCCTTTAAACCAAATTCGACAAGTACCTACTAATTGAACAATACATAAAAATTTAATATCCTTATGTAAATAAATTTATAAAACACTAGCTGTACCCTGCCACGCGTCGGTGTGGCATATTGTGATTGCATTGATGAGAAATGAGCAACAAAACTAACTCGAAAAATATGTAACAATCTTTGAATCGGGATGTATGTTGTGTCAAAATTTGAGCCCAATCACAGAAGTACTTTTCGAGTTTTTAAAGTTTACACAAACCAACTCAACATTTTTATATATTTACGCAGATTTAATTTAACAGTTAAGAAGATTTGTTGGATATTTATAAGCTACCGCATTTACCTTTTCAAAGGTCACAATAAAGAAAACCCAACATAAGTTAGACATAAATTTAATAAATTATTATATAATCATTGATATCTAAACATACAGATGTATAATTATGTTAAGTATAAGGAAAGTGGTTTACATCGAGAAGTTTTCCATTTCGTTTAAAAATATATATATAAATATCGTAAATGAAGAAGAAGCAGTAATAAACTGAAGAAAAATATACGGCAACAGATAACCATATGTATAATTTTATTACACATATGGTAGAATAGAAATCTACGTACTATTTTTTACTAAGTGATATTAAACCTACAAAAATGCACCAGCCACTACTCAATCACCATAAAGCAATTGAAAACTGGTTTTATGACGCAATATCATACTATTTTTGGCGTTAATGTTTAGTTGTAAGAGGTAACCTACAATAAATTGTATAGGCATACACAGATAAAAAATCTCTTTACTTAAAGAGCAAATGCTTTTGAATAAAACTACGAAATAATAAGTGCACACGTAAAATTTAGAAGAAGATTTACCTATGTCTACTATCAAGACCTAAGGCAGTTGAGTCCGAAACCTTTCATTCGATGGGTGAGAAAACAGTGTAGATAAATAACTCGTGTGCATGCAGTTGATACCAAAATTACTGTTTTCTATCTTTAAGTAAACGTGAAAACAATTTTGAGTAGGAGACATATTTATGTACCTTTATTCTATTACAAAAAAATGTTTACAATTCTGGTTTACTGAAATGACTTTGAGCTAAATATATCATTTGATGCACAAAACAGAAAAACACCTATGTAAGCAGTAATTGAATGATATTACATGCCCTTGTCGAGTTTTTGAGACATATTATATAATAACTTAGAACAGGACTACTAACTAAATAGATCGCATGAATTAGATTGACGGACGGAAAAATACCTCTCTGAACTTTACTTGAGAGGTGACTTGATCAGAGTGTAATCAAATGATCGTTCAAACAAAAAAGAACTAAATCAAGCTCGGTCTGTCCGTTTTGGTGCTGTGATGCCACAGACTTCGACGTAAGATCACACATATAAAGTTATAACACCTCCCTTTTTGCGTAGGGTATTGAAAGACGATCCGGTATTTTCCGTTGGTACATCACGATTTTTACCTTGATTACTATTAAATTTAAAAAAAAAACTTTTGTAGGTTGTCATGCAGTGATATTATTAAAGTAGATTTAAAATGAAAAGTGCTTTTTTATATGTAAGTGGCCAATTCAAAAGTTTTCTACACTAGCATAACAAAATCTACTTCTAGTGACAACAAGACAAGTGTAAAATATTATTATAGGTTCAATATTGTATTTAAACTTCAAGAAATACGCAGTTCATTTTCAATTAATTTGAAAATGAACTGCGTATTTCGTATAAACTAAAATAAAAATATACTTAGGTACCTGTGATTCCGCTGAACATTTTGTTATGATTAGCACAGGTTCAACACTAGATCTTGAACGTATTACAAGACAATAAAATAATTTGAACAATTTACACAAATTTTCACAATACGCATGAATCAAGTGCCGTGCGCTAACAGTGAAATCCAAGGATCAACTGCGAAAATTGAGTCGCTCGCTCGGCCCGAACTCAGATGCTTTTTCCATGCGGATGATACATGAAACGGCTATATTTTTATCGATGACGTCAATTCATTAGCGCGTTTAGTTGATGCAAGCGTTTGAAATGGTTTTGGTAAATTGGTTTCTGTAAATAGTAAATTGTTGTAGTGTTTACTATAACGTGTATTGCTGGGGTCTATAATTCACTTATTTGGATAAAAATATTAGCGATATTTTTAATCAAAGAAATATCATGGAAACTACCATATTAATTTAAGCTATATTTAACTTGCAACCCTAAGTCGTAAACAATTTTTAATAGCCTTTATTTTTTATCTATAGAGGTTAAACGGGCAGATGGATTCGATCCGATCCGATCGTGATCCGATCCGATGAAAAATGTTTATCGCCACACATTGACACACAAAAGACACAATTGTATGTTCGAGCCAAGGATACAAGCTATACACCGATTTTCTTCAAACATCGATATATCGTTCATAAACATCATTGTTTTAACATCGATGTTGAAATCCAAAAAATCAATGATACATCGGTATTCTTCAGCGATGTTTTATTAACGAAACCTCTCTCAGTCACAACTGTCACCAGCATAGACTTTTCTATTTAACGAACGGTTATTATTTTTATTTGTTGTGTGTGAAGAAGTGCAGCAAAGTTCTAGTTAACTGTGATAAATAACTCAAAATTCAACTGTGGATTGCGAACGCATCCTACCTCTTATTTCAATAGTATGATTACTCTATTTCATTGTTTTAGTTTAAAAGTGAGCTTAAAAAGGTAAATATTCATTTATAGGGTTTATTTCTGAGATAATTATTGTTAGGAGTGACAACTCCTATTATGGGATATACGTTGAAGATGTGGGACGATATGAAGGGGTTATTTCCGGGGCGTCATAGTCTAGCCATGTTCTATTTGCCTATAGTGTCAACTTCGAATATAGTGAGTGGTTATTCTTAGAAGCTGGTGCTATAATCACTCAGGAGAGAAACCGCTTACTGGGAACTAGGTTGTCAAAAGCATTATTTTTAATTCTATTTTAAATAAATAAACGTAAAAATATGTTTCTATAATACTTGTTTTCTATTAAAAATGAAAAATGTAAAAATTAATAATGTAAAATTCCTGAAAGAATTTAAAAATATTATTAGATATTACAACTGATTTGTTTTATTTCTGTTAAAAATAGATATATATTATTTATTTAAACGGTGATTTTATCGTTCATAAAGTTCGATATTTTTGACATCGATGTTTCACTTGTAACAGTTATTTATCCATTATATTTGTATTGCGTACGGAGCTGTCAAAAGTGACACCTGTCGCCCCGCGTCGCATTTATTGATTTATCCGAAGTAGATTGTAACTATAGTATTGATGTCTCTTCGTCCGCCATCGGACCACTAGATGGCGTGGTATTTTTTGGTAAGTCGTAGTAATAATTTATCCTGTCAAATTGTATTGGTGTTAAAAGTGTCCTGTTATGGTAGGAAGCGGGTTACTGTTGAATTGAGTCGTGTTAACCTCAATGATAATTTGAATTCGATTGGGCTCCCATTTATGACTAAATAAAGAAGGGATTCTTTCTAGAAATTTTACAAACCGAGCATAATTATAAGTCCGGCTTCCAGCCGCAAGGGACACTCTGGTGATTCTAGTCTGCCGATCTGAAGTAGCATTTTGATTGTGTTTATTCATTTTTAGTAAATTCTGTGTCCTAAGTACCCACTTCAGTGGTAAGTTAATCTTATTTTTCTTGTAGTCATTTGTTTTTGCAATCTGAACGATTATATGAGTGTTAATCCATTCATAGGGCTCCAGATTTCGGGTCAAGAGATACTTCTCAGACGGCTTTTGATTGTGGCCTTCTTGTGCGTAAATGAGCTCCTAAGTTTCATCTGATTACTGGCAGTCACACGGCTCACAAGCAAGCGGTCAGCCTCATTCAAGGGTTACGTAATTTTGATTAATGTAACTAATATAAATACCTAACCTACCTATATACCTAATATAAATAGCCGACTCGGGCTGGTGTGGAAATACTATGCCGGATTGCTGACGAAGAGGCTCCTAGCAACATCAGCTCGGCCTTTTTTCTTCGGGATCTTTTTTTATATACCCACTATTTATATTTATTCAATTTTAACTCTGTATTTGGAATGAAATATACATGTATGTATGACTGAGGTGTAAGTTGTGTTTCTCTGAAGAGTCCCTTAGGTTGCCCACACGCACACATATCCATACCCTTCTGTTGTCGACAAGGCGCCCTGAGGTAATCTCGTGTATTTCTCGGCTGGGTAAGCCGGTGAGTAGACCGCCTGACACGTTCAGCGGTTACACACTGATAAACTTTGATGTTCTTAAATCGATGTTTTTTATGAGCGATGTTGCATCCGTAGTTAGCGCTCTTTGAGTGCCTCTCCTCTCAGAATTGGCTAATTACTACTTCTCAATCCCAACTATTATTAATATGTATTAGTATTCGATCTTGATTTATGTACAAAATGTCAGTTGACAGTTCGCGCGTGATCGTGCAGTGTTGCCGTACGTGCGAGCCAGGGCCAGCTACGAGGTCAAATCGAATTGATCGTTGAAGCACTTGGCGAGCAAATATGGGTAGACCTACTATAGTTAGATGAGACACATTTCAAAAAGTCATCAAGTCACAAGAACTTATACGTCTGTCACCGCTTTAGAGCTGATCGGACGAAAGTAAAAACTTAAACTAGCTTTACAGTTAGGCGCCTTTACGCCTAAAATAATATTCCAACAATTATATTTTGCATATAAATATGTATAATATAAAAAACAATACCAAAACAGTACAGTGTATCAGTACCCTTTTTAAATCACTCTAGGTCAAGACAAAAAGTCGATAGTTTCTTATGTGGAAAACCAGTCATTCATTATGACAGCGAGTAGCGACAGTTGCTAAGCAACCGGATTTGGCAGCAAGTAAACAAAACTGACATTTAATTTTGTTCGTTGTCGGTTGAGAGAATTAAGTTTTAGAATCACTTTAGAATTCTGTAGTTGGCATGTGTTTGAAATGTCGAAGGATAATAACAACTTGCGGCTGCTTGGCTCTCCTGTAAATTTGTCAAACAGAGGGAAGAAGAAGGACGACAAGAGGAACGGACGGAGTCGACCACGGTCTGCTTTGCAGAGCACTTGCATCACACCGGTAGAATTATAAACTCTAGCTATGAGTTAGACTATAAAATACAAAGAAAAACAAAAAGTATAGATGAAAATATTGTAATTCTGTATTATAAAATTGTGTGCTTAATGAGTTTCGATGTAGTCATGGTGACTCAACCATTACGATATTTCCGTACTAATTTATTATTTGCAAATGTATGTAGATTAATCTAGTTCTATTATTTATATTGATCATAGTTACGTTTTGAATAGGTGCCTTTTATACATGATTTAGATAGGCCGCATGTTAAAATTGTAGAAGTAGGTACATTATTTAAATAGTTAATTTTTTGTTGCATGTGTATATACATTTATATTTATTTCCTATTGAGTAAACAAATGGTTGATTTTGTTACAAATGATGACAATTTCAAAGGCTGCGGTAAGTTTAGTCTTGTATAAATTGTTCTATTTATAATTGTATAAATATACATACTTAAGAAACATGTTTATCATTCTTATGAAGGTATGTATATCTTCTGAAATATCGTTGGTCTACAAGTTATAAATGACCTTCAGTTTATCATTTATTAGCCTTCATAAATCTATATTTTAACACTTGTTTTTCTACAACGTTTAAATAGATAATCAGAATCCTACAATATCTAACACAAGTAGGTACTTGATTTAATTTATTGATTAACCTTAATAATTTTGATTGACATTAATGAGGTTTTTTCATATAAATCTAAACAAAGCGCAATTTATATTATTTTATGTTATGACACTAATTTATGTACACATGCATTATAAGTGGATTAACAAAAATATATTTTATATTAGCTGTATCCTGCCATGCTTGAATGTAGCGCATTGTGGTTGCATAGATGGATGTGTTGAAAAATAGATAAAACTGAAGTGGGTTGTATATACCTAGTGTCAAAATTTGAGCTCAATTGATGCAGAACTTTTTGAGTTTTTGAAGAGTACACAAAACAACTTAACATTTATATATATATATATATTGGTTAATCCATAATAATGCATAAACATTTTAAAAAGAAAGATGATGAAAAAAATATTTCAGGAGAATCCAGAAAGATACAAGCGCCCATTTTCAGCAGATGCTAAAGAACGACAACCTACAAGAAACTTTTTAAAGCAATTTAGTGCTGAATTACTTAAGTCTTATAATGGTGATAAATTTAGTTATTCTGTTTTTGATAGATTTTTACAATGTGATGAGTAAATTTTTATGAATTTTACTTTCAGACTCACCTGTTTGTCTAAAAGTATTACCACCAACAACTGAACTATTAGGAGACTCCAAAGCTGCTGATAACCAATCAAAAAATAATAAAGAAATATGTAGCAACGCTTCAGACTATGGTTCTGAAGATACTTACATAAGTTTAGGAACTAAAATAAAAGCTAAGGCTCAATTGGGTGCTAAACCGAAAACTAGCAACTCCAGAAATTTTTTAAGGTTTAGGAACGCTGTTAAAAAAGGGCGCAGACCTATGGAGAACACAATAAATGAGGATCAGAATAGCCAAGAATATGGTTTGCAGGTGAAGTTAATTGAAAGAACACCATCACCCACAAGAAACAAAAATTTATATCATGGCAGGAGTCGATCTCCACCGTACAAGGAACAAGCTTATGAGTCTTATTTTCTATCTGTTGATGATAAGAGAGACTCTGAGATAGAGCATGGCTCTATAGTAGTGTCTAGTATACGCTCTGATGTAGAAGATGACATAGACACATATAGTAGACGCTTGACAATCAGTAAACAGCAGCTATCTTTAGTTGAAGAGGAGTCTACTCAAGATGTAGAGAGTGTTCCTTCCCAGAACATGTCAAGCTTATCGCCCGAAAATCCTTTTGAAGACAATCTCCACAAAGGTCATACAGATAATAACTTGACCGGTCATACATCTTATGTTGTGGATGCCAAAGATACAAGTGAATATAATAAAATTACAAACAGTTTCATGTGTGAGCCCAGGACTTACACTAGCTTTTATGATGATTTTCGTGCAACACCGATTGAAACCTATAGGACAAAGTTATCTAGCACCATAGTACATACAGATAGTTCATCAAAAGATTCTGGGTATCCAGATAGTGGAGCGAATGACGACAAGTCTTACATGCAGAATTATTCATTGCCTTCAACATCGATATTGAAAAAATCAACGTCACATGATAAAATTGGAGACCAACCCAAAAGTTTAGACAGTACTATCTCTTCAAATAGTAATGAAAAAGTCTACCAGAAAACGTTTCCTTTAGACAAAAACCAATGGTCAGAACCGCTTAACCACAGCCGTTTGCTCTATAAAGACTTCTTCTTAAAAAAAGAAGGACACATTACATTACCTCCACAAAACTCTCCCGTCAAGACAAAAGCCGATATGCTTGGCACTAGTGAAGTTGCCAATGATAAACCTGAACATGAAAGTGAAAAATTAGATTATCCACCTTATCTGTTAAATAGTACTACAAAAGCGTATACGTCTAAAGTTATCGAGGATTACAAAAAGGAACTTGAAGCTATAAACAATCTCCATGAACTTACTATAAAAGATATCAAGACTGATGCAGTGTCTCCTACGCCGCTCAACATAGATAAAATGTTTGAAGACGCATCTAATTTTGAAATCAAACAAGACAACTCTGAAAGGTCTGCAGATGGTCAACCTGATCAGCCTACAAATAATAAAAACTCATTGGACAGCAAAAGAGATGTGTCGAAAATTTCGACAAAAGAATTGATACAAAATTATTGGAAAGTAAAGGAAGGGGATTACAAAAATTCATCTACAAATACAAAAAAAACTGAAAGAAAAACGAACAATGTTGGCGTAGGTGAAAGTTCTTTAGGATATAAACAAGAGTGGAATAACAGATATACGAAAAGTGGTGGCAAAAGTACCATTCCTGTAAATATAAGGAATCAAACACAAAATCAAAAAAATTCAGTTGCAAGTCGGGCTCCACTTAGCGCAAGAATAGATAGAGTGCAGAACGATAAAGACATTGAATCCTGGATGTCTTTGTCTGCCCCCTCACCAAGATTGTTGAATATTGAAGAGTTAGATAGGGAAGGGACTCCAAAGCCAAAGCCGCCTACGCAGGAGGAAAACATTGAACCTATGAATTCGAATTTACCTACACCTGTTGCTGAGAAAGAAAGCAAAACTCTCGAGTTAAGTTCTAAGTCCACAGTGTTTGACATTTACTCAATGTTAAAAGAAATCGAGAGTTACGGTGATAATCCGGTGACATCGGTTACCAATACGAATCTCATTGAAACAGAAACTATCAAGGAAGAAAGGAGTTCTTCACCTAAAGATAACTTTATGTGAGTTAATATTTCTTACAAATCTACATAATTGACACTTGCCTAGTCATGCATATTTAACTGTTTTTTTTTATTTCTTATTTTTATGTTATTTAGGTTCTTACCAAGTGGCCAATTTCTTGCCATAGGTACTTTTGCACATTGATTTTTACTATTATTTTAAGCGTAACTGATAAATGATGAGTGTTTTATTTATTGTAGTGAACTTTCTGCATTAAAATATACAAAAGATTTATCTAACGTGTATAAAATGTTTTTATAAAGTCGGTCAACGCCCAGCATAAAAGTTCTTATATCTATGTAGCGAGTTCCACAAACGACGAAAACTAAAAACAAACACTGAATTATAGAATAACTTCTATCCCTGTATTATGCAATAAAAGTTCTCTTAACGATTAGCATATACACAAGTTCCCAACATCAACGCGCCGCGGTACTGGCGCACCAGGCCTGGTCAGAGGAACAACGTCTCCACATCTAGAATTTGTAGTATGTAAGTAAGTAGTAATTTAGCAGATCATTGTGGAAATATTGAATTTGTTGCTGATTTTTTCAGGGAAATATTCGAATTTCTGGAGAAAGTGGAACAGAGTGCTAACGATGCTTTGTCTGTAGTCACTAACACTACTCCGAATAGTCTACCAAAGTGAGTATTGCATTTTATACATTGCAATTACAAAATAATCATTAGTTAACTACACACCGAAATACGTCAAATACGTAAACCTTACCTTTACTGCTAATTTGAAGACTCCGAGTTATTCTAATTAAATAAAAATGATTTACAAGTCTTTTGATATCTCAAAAGACTATCGTGTATTTACGCATTCCGAATAAAAAACAGATTGATTAAATTAATTAAAAAGTATAACTTTTTAGGCTGGAAACTTTGTTGAAGCTGCCCCAAACAGAACTTGCTCAGAGGCTAGTGACTGCTTCTTTACAACTAGAAGAAAGATCATGCTGCATCGCCCTGTTACAAGAAAGCTTAGCCAACCATAAAGAACAGGTACCCTGTACAGTGTATGAACGTCAAAAGAATTTAATGTTAATATTGTCGTGGTTGACTATAGTCGATACGCGTTAAGAAAATAGTGACGCATTGATTTTGACCAATTAGGTTCCAAGAAATTATTGTTTGCTAGCTTGGAACCTGATTGGTCAGTGGCCGAGGTTGATCGATGCGACACATTTTCTTAACGTGAATGGATTAAGATGTATGGTGCCATATGTTCTTGAGTTGAGAAACTAATAACTTAAAAAAGTTGAAAATGTCAGAATGTTCGCTGCTGTAAGCCCGGACTATAAACTAATGTGATTCAGTATGGACACAGTTTAGCTCTGCGGCTCTGCATTGAGTAAACAATACCAATTCATATAGTAACTTCACACATCAAACACACATTTTAAAATGCATACATATTGTAGATAAATTACACACAGACACAGAACAAGTGATCGTGCTCATCACACAAACACACAATTTTAGTCCTGATTGGGAATCGAAGCAGAACAACCTCTCCAGCAGATATTTTGACATTCCCGAAGTATTAGACCAATAGGCCTAGGTAGTGCCATGTGCGACATTAAAGATTGAAAGTTTTATACTAAGCAAAATGTTATTTTATCATTCAGATGATCAATAAAGTGAGCAATTTGGAGAAGCAGTCGATTCGGAATATCGCAAAGGTGAAGCAGGAATGTGAAGAAACTATCAAGAGACACCAAAACTTCATTGATCAGGTTTGAGTAGAACATAACAAACCATTTATTTTCTTGAACAATAGTGTTTCGATATCATGATAATTTTTTTTTGCTTTTTACTTCGGGTCGGCGTAATGGGTAAGATCGCAAAAATTTTGGTTAGGTCTTTTCCTCCTCTGTCTGTTTGACCTCACTTTTTATGGCGATTGCATCCCATTTACTTTCATAAATAGTTTGATATACTGATAATCTGTATTTCTGGGTCTTACTGGTTATGATAAAAGATTTGCTTGATTTGTTTTTCTTTTGTGTAATGGCCCCATTATGCGCATGAGTAGGGGTTTGTAGTCGTATCTTCTTCACTACGTTCGTTTGATGAGTACAAGAGTGCTCATCGCAACACAAGACTATCTACTTAACTACGAAACCGGCTCTTAAGACCAGCATTGAAGTAATGAGTCATAGATCCGCAACCACTATACTTTCTTGGTATGTTACAGTTAATTAACGACAAGAAAACGCTGAACCACCGTATTGAACAGCTGGTTGATGAGCGGCGGTCGTTAGAGGAGCGCTGGAAGCGATCTGCGCAGGCGCTGGAGGAGCGATACAAGCTCGAACTGCGGAACCAACATGATAAGATGCAAGCTGCTCAACAGGTCGGTATTACAACCGAAATTGCGGATTAATGTGCATACCTAGTATTTATTAGCTATCGGAACAAAAAGAGTATATCCTATAAAATAAATAAAGTAAAGACTCTTTCTGCAGGAAAAGGTTTATTAAATACTGTAGCTCGAATCAGCTCCACTCCAAAAGATGACCACATTCATTTTGCTATAGCTGACTCATTTTCGTCAAAATATAAAAGTCTACAATTATTTAAATAAACACACCAGATTGTTCAAAAATAGCTTAACAACATCTTATCCAAAACGCTAGGCGTTTAAATTGTCATTAACTATAATCATTTTTCTGTTTCGGTTGTATGCGTGTATTTTAAATACTTTCGAAATTTCCAAAATGTATCAGTTTTGGAAATATGGATGTTTTGCATCTACTTTTGGAGCTGACCGTACTGGTATAGAATAGAAATAAACATATAGGCACAATTTTGCGTTAAAAGTACTTGGTTTTACAGCCCAGCCAAAAATACTTGCTATGCAGTATTCACGAGTCTATATTTCGGTAATATTCAGTTCGTTAGGTTAGGTTAGTGTCGGTCATATTTGGCCAATAAGCAATATTTGGTAGAAGATGTTGTTTTGTTTTTTATTACTTAAAACTAGAATACATGCATTAATATAATCTTTCTTGCCATAGATATTCTTGTTATAATATTTGACGAAATCAAATTTGTTTTCTATGAAACAATTAGACACAATAGGTAGTAACATCATCAATATCAATCATTTAAAAATATCGCTTTTATGTTATATATGTATTTTATGTTATTAGTAATAATTCCTTACTTATATGATGAAGTTCGAATAAGGTAATCATATTTGGTACTCTGTATAATTTCATCACATCAACAGCCTTTAGTAGTCCACTGCGGGACATAAGCCTGTCCTTAGAAAAGAAGTTTTGGCCTAATATACCACGCTGGCCAGACGGGTTGGTAATGAGTTTGTTTCAAGTTTTCCTTTTCTTCGCAGTACTGTTGTCCTGCATAGTTTGCTCCCTTGACAATCCGTATTCTTAATCCGTCACCACACGAATAGTGATACTGTATAATTTATGAAGTTTAATTTTTTTAAATCCTTATAGGATGTAAGATAGGTATCTGTGTCAGAAAGTTTTTTCATTAAGAAATTATTTGTAACGGTTAGACTTACAGGAACGGGCCAGTGATCATCGTAGCTATTTATGCTGCACATAGGTTTATAATATGTAAATAATTGATTAGTTATTTGTTTCATGTCTTTTATTTTTTAATTTCAATCAAGCATGTGAATAGCCATATCCAATGCCATTCATGCATCTTTTGTAAGAGATTGATTTTTTTCTCGGTTTATTTTTTTATTGTATTTGCGCTACACAGTTATTAAATTGTGCATACACCACTTTGTTGATCACTTAGGTCGCAAGACAACGTTGGGTTAGACAAAAGGCGGAGAAAATTAAGGTAAGTAAAAATTCCTACTCACTTATAGCCTCACATCACATCAACAGCCTTTAATAGTCCACTGTTGAACATAGGCCTCTTTTACTTATACCTTTTTTTTTTCTTTTTTTTTGGCTCCCTTAATTCCTGCAATCTGTCTATACAAAATTTAGTTGAATTTTAAGCATTTGTATAAGGACGTGTTTGGATCAAATTCAGTGAATTGCCCATCTATATTGAAGTATCTATGTGTCTAATAGATCTTCTGGCGCTCGTCTCCTTAATCTTCTGGAAGTTTTGCCAGGTTTCTCTTTCATCAGATTTCTTGCAAGTTTGTTGGGGTGTTTTTGCATACGCTTCTTATAGATTTGCATCGAATCTGCTACTTCCCTCTCTATATCTTTAACTGTCGGTGTAATCGGTCGTTTGTAATGTACTATGGTGCATTCGTGATCACTTATACCTAAAGTAAAGAGCGTCTGGAGTAGGCTTAATCAGAAAAGTTGTGAATAGTAGTAGTTAAAGAACCTCTGGATTAAAGTAAACCTGTACAATCATTAGGAATGCTCCGTGGAACTCGGCATTATATCGGCCGACACTTTCTGCAATCATGTAATGAGGACAGAATTGCCAATCCTTTCATTTGGATACTTAGCACTCAACTACTGTGTGCTTTTGCACGAAACCTGTATAACAAATCGTCGCCTGCGGTACTTCCCGACCAATACGATCTTCATACCCTAAAATAAGCGTACTCGCAACTCAAAGGCTGTCAGCACACTGAGTAACTCTTGAGTTGCATGAGCGTGTGTATGATGTTCATGAGCGATGGTAGTCACTTACCGTCAGGTGAACTGCTTGCTCATGTGTCCCTTATATCATACAAGAAACAAACTAATATCTGAAACTAGATGGCCTTGTGTGTCAGATGTCCAAAAATATTATTACTTATTATTAATTTTGAGATACATATAAAGCTAAAGGTGATTACTTAAGTTATCACCTCACTCCCACCCATGCTACTGAGGTTGAAATGCTGGTCTAAAATGAACTTTAAAGTCCCTACCGCACTGTAAACCAACTTCAAGCCTGCAGTCCGACGGGAGTGTCTCCTGTTTCTTCTTCTTAACATTTTTTGTAACAAAGCTTGGGGCAGTTTAACTATTATCCCTAATACCAGTACGATGCTAACGCCAATGAGATTGGTAGGGTACAGTCGTGTACTTTGTAGGTTCAAACTCGCAGCCATTGACCGCTGATCTTAAGCCAATACGGCTACAGTTACTTAATAAAAGAAATCATTTTGTTACTAATTTTAGTACAAAGTACCTACAGAGGTTGTATACGGCGATGTAATATGATTGTAGTTAAAATAGAAACATCTTTGCACGAAGTATAACGGAATGGTTTAAGATTAAGGAACAGAATGCCACGTACCATGTACATATTTGCCACTCATAATACATATTTTTCACAATCACTTTTACACAATCACAATTAGGTAAGATTAGTTAATCAAGGGCTGTATGCTCACCCCGAGAAGAGAAGTATTAAGTTTTGGCTATTATAATTATGTCAAATTAGGAATCAATAGTGGGGAAAATGAGAATAGATCAAAAGACTTAGTTGAGAAGAACTGTGAAGTCTGAGCAGATCTCTAACTTCTGTATAAATTGAAACATGTTTTTTAGATCATTAAATTAGATGCAAAATCTATTGCCGAAATTATTCTAATTTATATCATGGGTATTCCTTCAAATACAGGAACTAACGGTAAAAGGTTTGGAAGGTGAACTAAGAGAGATGGCGGAGAGACAGCAGAAAGAGATATCGGATCTGAAGATGATGCATGCGGAACAGAGTGGGCGCGCTCATGCCAAACATGCGCAAGAACTTGAGGAGTTAAGGAGAACACTTGAGGATGAGAAAGAAGCTGCACTGCTGAAGGAAAGACAGTTGGCTAGTTCTAGGTAAGAGTTTTAATATTAGGTGCAGTTTAAATCATGGTAGATGATCTCTTTTTATAAATTAAGTAGTAGGCTCTTGATTAGGACTTTAGGACAATCTTTAGCCAAATTTAAAGTTCAATTGGAAACTGAACTTAGGAAAAACCCACTTTGTTTTTCTGGTAACTATTAGGTAAATAAACGACTAGTCTAGTGGCTAGTTATGCTGACTGCTGACCTGACCAGATCCTGACTAAAAAATATATGATAAGAACGATCATCTAATCATCATCATCACATCATCAAAATATTGCACCCGTGCAAAGGTGCATACATTACAGTACTGTAATGTATGCACCTTTGCACGGGTGCAATATTTTCGACATCACATTACAAATTCTTGATATTCTCGAATTTTCTCCACTATAATATGCATGTTTTATAGATATAAACCGTCCCCTTGAATCACTCTCTCTATTGATGAAAACCGCATTAAAATCCGTTGCGTAATTCGAAAGATCTTAGCGTACAAGAAAAAAAGCGACTTCATTTGTAATATTTTTACATAGTATAACATGTAAAGATATTTCATTCAGTAGTCAGGTTACCATAGTAAAGTCTCTATCTAGTTTAGTATCAGACGGCCGTGAGGAATGTTTTAAGTTTCAATTGTAAATTACAGATTAGAGAAACAAATACTAGAAATAGAGTTAACATATCAGGAACAACGTACTCGACTTGTAGCAGAAATGAGAGCGGAAAACGAGAGAGTCGCCGCGGAGTTAGCTGCCAAAGAAAACAAGCAAAGGGAACAGTTTGGTAAGTTCATAATATATAACATATTATATTAACAGTTAATATTTATTAAAATATTTTTCTATTTTCATCTACCCAAATTGTTATTAAAATATTAATATATATGCGTTTTCGTTACAGAAAAATGGAGAGAAGAACAGGAGAAGATGGTGGATGAAAAAAGAAAGGAAATGGAACAACAAATTGAAAAGGAAAAACAGAACAACGAGGTCAGTAATATTTTAAGCTTAGTGTGGTTGCGCCATAGGATTGAGTGGATTTTATGTTGTGTCTGGAGGACAACGCCATCTAGTATCAAGTACATCTAGCACAACGCTACGCATTGAGATTATGTTCTTAATTCCGATACTTGCTTGCGGTGCCATCTAGTGTCGAATATCGGAAGATTATAGAAATTTGTAGATGCCTTATTGAACGTATTCCTGTCTGGGATATTCCATTGAATAATCGGGATTAGTCTAGTAAATTCGATAGCACTATAAAAGCGGAGCGTGTTGGCCGTACAGGACACTATCGTTTTACGACACAGCGAATTAACATTGAAGTGGATTTCTAGTGCGACTAACGGGTTAAATAGTGATTTCTTGTTTGTTATAGTGAGTGTTTGTAAATACAGTTTTTTTACGGTATAAGGGGGCAAACGAGCAGACAGGTAAGCAACTACTGCCGCCCATGGACACCTGCCACAACTCAAAAATCACAAGTGCGTTGCCGCCCTTGGAGTCTCTCCCGCTCGAGTCAACGTAAGGGTGGATTTTAGCTCCGGTAAATTCACTCACTCAGTGAAAGGCAACGAAAGAATTGCTTAACACAGGTTTTCTGTGAGGCCGTGGTATCACTCCGGTCGAGTCGGCCCATTCGTGCAGAAGCATGGCTCTCCCACGGTACACAGTAAAAGTAATTAACCGACACCTTTTATTTATCGTATACCCCTCTTGTAACAATATACTGCTCATGAAAGCAGTTCAAATTCAGCTGTAATCATTTATTTTATATTAATTTTAAATAATTTTCATTATTTATGTTTTATTTTCATTTCGACAATTGTTTGACAGCTTAAAGGCTTTTGTCCACCACCGCCATCACGGGTATTTGAATAATCCTAGCGCACAGCAAAACAGGATTTAGTCCTAGTGGAGGAGTTGTGGTTAAGGTTAAGATGACAGCGGCGCTAGACAAACGCCCTTATATGCTATTGTAGGTAGTCACGTGAATAATTTTGTCTACTGCAAATTTATAAATCGATGTAAACTATTTCTAAGTCAGTCCGTTTGGTCCAGTTATAAATTATTGCATTTAAGCTGTTTGCACTATAATAATAACATGAAATTTAAGGTTTGAACGAGTTCATTAGTTTTCTCTTCAAGAGAATTGATTTCATTTTTGATCGAATGAAGTAATGAGATAGGGTTGTTTGATAATACAGAGGAATGGGCCGGGGATCTTGTATTGTAAATTTAATGTTGACAGGATGGCAAGAGGCAATATGTAAACTCACTCACTTGAATTATTTCTATTATATATAGCGATAGATTTATTTGATACGAGTTAACATACATAGTTTGGTCTCTGGCTTCATAATTAACATTTAAAATATAATTGTTAGGAAAAAATGAAACAAAGAGAAGAAGAAATCCAGATACAACTGGAAGACTACAAGAAAACATTGGAGAAGGAACAGCAGGCTCAGATCAAACGTAAAACACAAGAGATCGCGGCGCAGTTCAAGCAAGAGAGAGACAAGGAGATAGAGAAGGCTATTGAGAGTATGGATGCAGAGGCTCAAGCTGGGAGGAAGGAGTTACATGATGCGCTCAGGTAATGTAATAATATTAGCTATTCATAATATCTCTTCTCTGTTACTGACGGTCTAGCGGTTAGTGATCCTGGCTGCTAAGCCGGACGTCGAGGGTTCGATTCCCACCCATGACAAATATTGTGTGACAAGCAGGGTCATTTGTTCTGTGTCTGGGTGTAATTTATCTTAAATCTTTAAAAATAAATAAGTATTTTTATCAGCAGCCTGGTTACCATAGGAAAGGCTCTGTCTAGTTATAGGACAGACGGCCGTGTGTTAGATGTGAGGTATGTTATTACTGTTCTTTCATAGTATTGTAGGCAGAACTTATCATCATTTGCTTGTTTCTTTAATGACCAGTCGCCTACAGGAAGCCGACCCTCCTTGAAGAACATAAATTGCTATAAGAAGTATTACCGTGGAAGTAACATGCTTCGGCATAAATGAGCTCACAGAAAACAGTTTTTAAGCTATTCTCCTCCCTCCCCGTATTTCTCGGGAGAGGACACAAAGCGCGGACGCCAGTGTGCGCTTTGCGCTTTTCAAGACACTTTTTACCTCGCACAACCAACCTGTGACCTGTGACCTTCAAACCTTCAAGAAAAGAGCGTACTCCTTCCTCAAAGGCCGCCAACGCGCTTGTGACTCCTGAGTTGCAGGCGTTCATTTGCGGCGGTAGTCACTTTCCATCAGGTGACTCTTCTACTCGTTTGCCCCCTATACTATACAAAAAAGAAAAACGGATAGGGTAGGGTAAAGGATCCCGCAAGTGTCGAATGAGGAAACGGAACTGAGACTGCAGTACTAGACCAGGGTCACGTGTCCATATATCCGTTCTGTGTTGAGAGACCGCTAAACCATAGAGCACAAGTATTTCATTTTGATCCTTATTTGATTAATATTATTATTATCCAGGAGAAATAAAGAGCAGTACGAGGCGGAGTTGAAGGAGTTGGCGGAGACGGAACAAGCCACCCTGAGACGGTACCAGGAGGCACAAGCTAGGGTGCGGCAGACCGAAGACAAATGTAAGTCTCGACACAATTCTTTTTAGTAGTGTTATCTTTTTCCTTAGTGTTTTTAAAAATAAATTAGGCTGTTGCTGGACGTCTGGCAGATATGAAACATCAAAAACTGAGCGGCAGTACTTTTCAAAAACTGAGTGTAAAATGAGTATAAAGGGATGGCTTAAGAAAAGAAAAAAATACAGCACAATTAAAAATATCATATTTATATTTAAGATATAATGATTGTTTATTCACATAGCGTGGTAACGCAACGGCAACGGCGTCGCCACGCCTTAGATGTTTCACATTAAAACTTAAATTAATCTGCTATGAATAGACATTGACTGCACACATTTACAGGAATCCTTTAGTAAAATTAACTTTTCCTTATTGACAAGTTTCCTGAAACAAATTTAAATCATGCGTTATGCGAAATAAAGACAAAAATGCAATGTTTAAAAAATAAATATTATCATAGATCAGCCACAGAAATTTTGGTAACATATGAGCAAAACATAAAAATAAAAATAAAATTAAATGAAAAAAAAAACAAAAAACTTATTGAGTTATGGTCGAAATTGGACTTGGTCGAATATTCTTTATTGACGTAATGATAACCAGAATATTTTATTCATTCCAGGTGCCGAACTAGAAGTAACTATTTCTCAACTGGAAACTAGAAATCGACTTTTAACTGAAGTAAGTGAAATGATATCAGCAGCCTTTTTTTAAATGTATCTTCTTTGCTTAATAATATCCCTACTTACAAACCTACCTTTAGATGTCTCTAATTAAATGAATGGAAGTTAAAGAGGAGTATACCAGGTCGTATTGAAAAGAAAGATTTAGTAGTTTAACAGGAACGATAACTTTAATTCGTAACGGTATGTATCTATATACCGTTACGAATTAAAGTTGTGTTACGAATTAAAGAGTGACAGGAGGGCAAGGTTCCGAGCCGCGACCTCTGTCCGTTAAAACGAGATGAAATACATACCGTTTGACATGTATATAATTACGAAATGCATTGCTCTGAGACTTGCCCCTAACAATTATTTTTAATTTCAAATGGTTTTCAACACAAGTGTATTATCTGCCAATATTGCCTGTTTATGAATAAACGCCACGAGTTTGAATTATATTATGAGGGATAATTTTATTCAATCATTAATTGAAATTAAGTATTTACTTTATTATTCAGCGTTTCTTTTAGTGCGGTTCGATATCCTAAACAAATCATTAAATTAAACAAGAAATATTTGTTTAGAAAACCAGTCAGCTGGAGGCTCGTGCCGAGGAGGTCCGCGCGAGCTGCGAAGAATCGTGGAAGAGCAAGGTGGATGCGCTCAAGAAAGAGATAGAGGAAATGAAGAAGACGCACGAAGAACAAATGCATCAACTTTATGCCAAGTTAGTAGAATAATTGCAGAAAACTAAAAATGTTCAACAATGGTGCTAATTCTGTTGTTGACACAACTAAACTAAAATTCTCTTATTTTAGTGAGGCGAATTCCAAAATGCTATTCTGTTGTCAAGTCTAACTAAAATTGGTGTTTGTGTAAAGACAGCATTAAAATAAAGTGTTACCATTGTTTAAAATTAAGAATAAATGGTTAAAAGTGAATTTAAAAAAACTTTTGAAATAATATTAGGATGATTTTAAAATATATGTAAGTGATTATTAACACAATAGATCAAATTTAATATATATATATTCCTCAGTTATAGCTAAGTAAAAACAGTTTTACTCAGTTCACATACCTGGCAACCCGCGGTAAACCTTTTTCGTTATCTATGTAACTAAAACGAATATCTCTGAATCTGTGCAAGTAAATTGACATGATAAAACAGGTATTTTATAATAAAATAATTAATACTAGAGCATAAATAATTAAATTAACTAGCAAAAGTCGGTGCTTTAGGAGGGGTCCCAAAGTTTTTTACCTAGTAATTAATTTTTAAGACGGTTTTTTAAAGGTTATTAATTAAATATAGGCTTGATTAAATAATTATTTTTGACAACACTGTTTACATAGATATTTATTCTTTAGTTTTCTAACAGATGGCGTAAGAAGTAATAGTCCATCTGAAATGGATTGCAGTTGTCTTGCATATGTTCAAAGTGTATTCTTTGGTTTCTAAAAATAATACGTAGGTATGTCTAAATAATCCAGACGAAATACATGATAATTATATAATTATTGTGATTCAAGATGAAAAACATCCTTTCTAAGGAGAGGCCTAATGCCCAGCAGTGGACTATTAAAGGCTGTTGATGTGATGAAGATGAAAAATATGATGTCCATACATATCCGTTAAACTTACCAGAGGCAAACCATGTAATCGCTATGTATCATGAAAAAAAAAGACAAAATTTAAAGAATTTATACTTAAACAGTATATAATAAAGAAATTAGTCGGCATGTATTTAGATAACGTCGTATTTTAGTCTGATGTTTCTAATTTTAGTCAATCTTTGACGATTAGAACGTACAACAGAACAACAAATGACCAATTGTGGACCAAACTAAGTAACTTAACTAATTTTGGTTGTGTCAAACTAAATTAAGTGATACGTTTTCAGAATACCTACGAATCGTTGTTTGATAGAACTAAACAATTTTTTTGTGATTATCAGTTTAGTTTAGAGAGTTTTTGAAGAACAGAATTAGCATTAAAATATATGTTACAAATTTTAAAAATTAGGTAAAATCGATCGCAGATATACGAGTACTATGTTGAACTGCCACTGTAAAAAAGCTGTATAATGAGAGGTCAAGTTATACTGGCTAAAAACCTTAATTAATTCTATTCCAAGTTTGACCTTCACGCTATCTCTATTTTTAATAAATAATAATAATACTTTATTTCAGACTTTGTGCATGTTTTACACGTTTATTTTACAATTACTTAATAAGGGCCTTATATTTTTATTTAAACGTGTAAAATAAAAGTTCAAATAAAAGTTGAGTTCAAGGAATATAGGCATATAATAGGAAATAAAATTTTGACAGTGTGAATATTTTTATCTTTTTATTTAATACTAGCTGGTACCCGCGACTTCGTTCGCGTGGAATTTGAAAAACGCTGCCTTAGTAGGTTCGATTCCCGGACCGGTTTTCACTTTTTGTGAAAACCACTTTTTTATAAGAATACTGTTTCCAGAGTGATACTTTATATCCTTAATTGTTCTCAGGGTGAAGGTAGCAGTAGCTCGCAAAGACTCAGCTATTCAAGCGTTAACAAGAGAAGCTGGCAAATACCAAGAGAAGATAACATTACTAGAGCAGAAGCTTCAACAGCAACGGAAAGACTTTCTAAAGCATAAGTGACATAAACACACATGTAATTAGGTACTATTGTGGATGTTATGGCAAACAAGATGCCCCTGGCGGTTTGATGGTCTGTCTTTCAACTCAATGCAGACTCTAAAGTCATAGATCAACACACATAAAAGCAACAATCTCTGTTTTGTCAAATAGTAAGCAAATAAATTTAACAAAAATCAAACCCATACAAAATCTATGATATGCCTGTGCCTACAACCGCCCGTTTCCAAGGGGTTGAGCCTTATGAGAAGAAAGGGCAAACAAACTCATGGCCACACTTTTGCAATTCACAGATAGATACAATGGCACTATTAAATATACCACAACATTGTTTTGATGTGTGCCAGTATGTCCGTTATTAAGGACTAAAAGGTAAAAAGACAATGAAGAGAAAACAAGATTAAGAAAAAAAAAACGAATAAAAGAGAAAATGAAGTGAAACTTAAAAAATAGAAAAAATAATAATTATAATAAACACACATTATATTTTTACTGAAGAAACAAATGCCTGCGCTAATTAATTCCAAGCATTCTAGTCTTCCATGTAATCCACAATTGAGTAGTAGCCCCTCTTGTACAAGCCACGTTTTGTTACTGCCTTTGTTCTGGTTACAGATCTGACTGACTGGTCTTATTGCTTAAGACTTCTGGCGACCTTGATAACAAGTATCCCGGCATTATTCTAGGTTCTTTATTCAAATGTAAGGCAATCTTCTTCTGTGGGTAAAAAAAAACTATTCGCTAAAAAGGTCTGCATTCCATAATCATGAATATCATTTTCAAACTCGATGCACGTATTTTCATGCACTATGTTTTTACTATACTTAGAGTTAAATGAAAGGAAATCGTCTTAAATTATTTAACATTTAAATAAATAGTAACTTTGGAGACAAAACTATAAAGTTCGATATTGATCACCCATAAATAAGATAAGCTATTTAGAAGTAGAAGGCGCAATTCTAACTTGTCACTTTTTGGATTTGGATGGGTTTGGGTTTGGTTTAGATGGGATGGGAATTGTATGTACTTGCTTGATGATGTGTAAAAGTAACGATTTTTTTTTTCTGAAAACTCTTTTACACTCATGACAACGCTTATAAATGCAAAATTTCATGAGGATTGAAGACATATACTTTCATAAATTAATTAATAAGTAACCCAGCCCATATTCGGCTCTTAAATATCATTCAGTATGTTAACTAGATAGGATGTTATCAACATCTGGATAAAGTAACTTTCTAGTGGTGAAATAATTATTAAAACTTGTTCATTACTTTCAGAATTTAGCTATAACAAATACACAAAGTAACACTATTTTTATATTCTTAATTTAATAATTAATTGCGCTTATCACAATGTTGTGTCGTCACTAGCCAACTGCCTAGCATTTAGTATTTAGTAATTTAAGGTTCGGTTGCCGCCTAAAGTGAAGGCTGATATAATTTATTTATTTTATATTTGTACTTTGTTACTTTTTTTTGTTTTAACTTATTAATGATTATGTACGATTGTAAACTTGGGTTGGTATGAGTTTTAGTATAAATAGTAAAAATTTCCGTCCATCTGTTTGTTTATATTTTATGAGATACTGTATTAAACTTGACTTTTTTAGACTAATGGTCAAATGTGATTGCTATGCTTGCCAATAAATTTGATAATTATGAAATGAGTTGTTTTATTACACTTACAGAAGAATATAGAGTTCGCTCCATAGAGATATAATCTAGAGGGAACCAGAGCCCCATTCTTGCATTATAGGCAACGAGAGAGATGGTTAATAGATAGTCCCCTCTATCTCTTTCTAGACGAGCTCTGTGGTTGGCTGAGGAATATGAGGGGTTAATAAGTAGCCAATAGCAGCTTAGCTAAACAGGACACATAGGGGAATATCGGGCATACATCTCTCTCGTTGCGAAGCGATACAGTCGCTTCCACTTACAGACAGCTGTACCCTGTGTTCTCTCTGTGGTTATATGTCTATGGTTCGTTCCCTCCATTATATTATCTCTATGGTACTGACACTGTAGAAAAAAAATCGTAAAAAAAAATGTTTTCATATGGTGGTCTCAGACTTTTGAGGATGTCACATGTCAAAACCCCTAATTGGCATATTAAATTGTTCGTTTGAATACTAATGATCAGATTAATTGTGACTTGGTGCACTTTTTGGGCTCTCTGGCAGTTCACTACGGTCTTCTAGTGGGGAAGACTTAGCGTAGGTGTTTGCACACGATACTTTTACTTACTTTACTACTATGCCATTGTACTCGCTTGCAGGCAGACAACAAGGGATAGCAAGCAAACGAGCTCATGAAAACCATAGACTACAATAAAACTCAAGAGACACGAGACATAAATGCGTTGCCGACCCTTTGACCCCCACCCCTTCCAGAGGGAGAAGGAGGGGAAGGTTGGCCCTACCTTATCTTCATCATTTGATCGGAGTGGAGTGATCTACACACACATGATAATTTGATTGAAAATCCGGTCGAATATTGCAATAAAATGCGTCGTGTATGAAGGGCTTAGAATATTTAAATTTTTCAACTGACTAACCTTTCAAATAAAGCCTCGAAATAAGTTCCAAACAAAAGTAAAATAACTTTTAATTTGTATACGTATAAAAAACATTATACCGCACAGGTACATTCTTAAAGCTATATTTCGATACTGAAATCTGGATCTAGGTACTCCTAGAACCCGTATAATCCTATTTACTTAATATTATTAAAGCTTATTTAACTATAAATATCAAAAATCAATTTTATAACAAACGTGCATAAAAGCAACAAGTAAAACCATATTATTATCTTTTCTTCAAACTTATAACGAATATGGCGACCAGTATAAGATCATAATTATGGCTGGTATCACCAAGGCCGCCACATTTCCGAACTAGCCGATGTTCCTTGCTGTGGGGACTTTGAACGCGTGTCAGCTTCTACCTTCTCCTCCTTAGGTGTCTCTTTCTTGAACGATTGGGCTAAAGATTCCGCCGTATGACTAATTACAGTTCGTGGAGGATTCGGTCTATTTTCCTTCGTGGTTTCAACAGCTGATGGTATACTTTCAGGAATGCTTAATTTTTTGTTAAGATAAACTGGAATTCTTTCCGGCACCCGTGAAAACGCTGACTTTTCAGGTGTCTTATAGCCTATTTCTGGCACAATTTTATCCTCTGTTTTGATTAACTTAGGTGCAGGTCCAGTCAGGTCTACGACAGGTCGTTTTAACTTATGTCTGATTGAGTAATCCACAGCTCTTTTAGGTGATGCATCGATACCAATTTTATAATTCTCCACGTCTATCACAATGGATAATGGTTCCATAAATTTTTTATGTCTTAAAACATCTTGTCTGTTTTCTGGTGAAATTGTCGTCGATGAAACTGTCGGCTTCTGAGTTTCTGGACTGGAATCTTGATCTGAAGCTGATCTACTTGGAGGTGTAGGGAAGGGAAAGTTCTGAACTGGTCGTGGTGGTGTTTCAAGTTCCGTTGAAGAGTCACAAGCGGAATCACAGGATAATGGACTTAAAGGGGGACTTGTTGGTTTAATAGATTTAACAAAATGGAATGCGCTTGGTCTTTCGTCGTCTAGTCTTAGTGGGTCTGGTACGAGGGGCGCGTAATCTCTTGGTTGCATCGTTTCCATTCCTCCGACACAAGACGTTAGATGATTTCCAAGACGATGCCGAAGCCCTGTTGGTACGCTGGCAAGCCGCGAGAGGTAGCGTCTGACTTCAACAGCACAGTCGCTGAAACCAGCCTTAAAGCGGTGAAGTACTGCGGGATCTGCTGCTATAGCAGCTGCTAACTGTTGTCGCTGTATTTTCTGAAGGTGCTTCACGGTAAGCTCCAGGATATCGGCTTTTTCCAGTTTTGAATGACGTGCTGGCTGTAATGGAAAATCGTTGCTTTTAATTTTCTTCTCCCTTTGTTCTTGTTAGAATCTAATAGGTTTTGGCTATAGAAAATAGTACTCAAAATAATTATAAAAACAATTTGGACATGGTACGGTTGGGGGTATAAAAATTATATACTACACTTTTGCAAGGTTACAGTGTATGAGATATGTATTCACATACAGCTATATAAAGTGACAATAAGACGGCAATAAGATATTAAACAAACTGTCCCCATTTATGTTTGCCGACTTTAATATTTCGTAATTATACACTTGGTTAGTCTTGTTAATAACAATTATTCAATAAAGGGTGAATTTTAATTCAGGTAGTTCCTTGAGACCGCGTTACCGTGCTCCTGTTATGGTGGGCCTTCACAGATATTTTCCTCGATTAGCAATTTAGATAAAAAAAAATATACCTCCACGATTTTTTACCCTGGGTAACTTAACCTAAAATTTAGGTTAAGTTACCCAGGGTAAAAAATAAAATAAACTTTATATCTATACTAATATTATAAAGCTGAAGAGTTTGTTTGTTTGTTTGTTTGTTTGTTTGTTTGAACGCGCTAATCTCAGGAACTACTGGTCCGATTTGAAAAATTCTTTCAGTGTTATATAGCCCATTTATCGAGGAAGGCTATAGGCTATATATCATCACTCTAAGACCAATAGGAGCGGAGCACCAATAAAGAATGTTTCAAAAACGGAGAAAATTTATTACTATTGAGAGACGCAGACGAAGTTGCGCGGGTCAGCTAGTATAAAATAAAATAGATAAAATACAATAAATAAAATATTAAACTTTTTCTCACTACCATTTAGGTCCTAGGTAGTAAGAAAAAGTTTAATATTTTCACTATTTAAAGCAAATACATGGTGTTAACATATCTTATATGATGTTATCATATTATTAAGGTTTAGATAAATTATTAAAAAAAACACATTCTAATTATTTTTAGTTCAAGTTTTATTACTTACGTCTTTGTCAGAGGCAGCTAGTAGGTCCTTGAGCTCATTCAGGCAATGGTTGATGCGCGCGCGACGTTTTTTCTCCATTATCGGCTTGTTCGTCTAAAAATTATGAAATAAATGAAAATCCTTTTATATTTCAATTGAGAATTTGATTAAAGTTGAAGCAGACTCTTGTTTATTATTTATTAATTTATCTTAATGCTTTCTCAATGATTAATTTTTTTGATAAATATCTTTAAATTTACTTTTAAATTATAATCAATTTTAAAACTGTAAAAATATTTTAAGTTTAATTTTTCTTATATTTCATTGAAATTCAAACAATTTTTCGACACTTTTATATTTATAACCAAAACACACCTTTCTCAACTCAGCTTTAGACATCCCCTGGGTTGGTTCCGAGAACCCTGTTTGGGAGTCATCATCCTCACTGTACGGCATTATCACAAATTGTATTAATATTTTTTATCACAACACCACATACGTCCACACCGTACGGTTACCGATCACCTTATGAAGTTACTCTCGCGCAACTCTACAAGCAATTTTTTTCAATTGCCTCTATCCTGCGGTTGAATCCTGTTTGAAATTAAACGCTCAAAATATTTCTATCTCTATCGGACGCAAGAGAGAAGGCGCTGGGAACTGTGTCGGAATGCTTTGTTTTCGTGCCGTCTCGCTCATTTGGGGCGCGTTATGAATGAAATCGTATAGGCTTAGTTGTTAGCGGGATCGGTAGGTGCGCGTTCGATTAGGTGTGAATTTCTTAAAAACAAGATACTTATTAAGGATTGTTTTTATTAGTTTTGTTATGGTGTACGAACATATTTTCTGTGTGTATTAATGTTCTGTTATCATGTATGTTTATTAATTCAACAAAAATATTACCTTAAATCTCAAATTAGCGTAGTAGCTACATTGAATAATAAAAAAATTGTTGATGTACAACAATTTCTTCATTATTAATGTAATTATTATATACCAGAAATTCTTATACCACCAACATCAGGTAAAACCGAAAAAAAAATTGCGAATAAAAAGAAATATTAGAACTAGGTACATTGACTTATTCGACTTATTTTTGCAAGTCTCGCAAATTCATTATTCACATAAGTTTTGGTAAGTTAGACTATAAACAAACAATTATAAGTAGTGAAGCTACACCTGCTATTCCCCTTATCCTGTTTAGTATGGGAATGCGCCCATACGCACATCCATCAAGAACCACAATAAATTCCCTACCGTCCCACTCATATAAACCTCATACTTCATTAAAGCACACCTTTCCATAAAGTGTTGTAATTATTTTCACAAAAAACTTGAACATTCTACTTGCTACTTGATGTACGCACTGTAGCGTAACTTTAAAGGGAAGGTGGTCCATTAAGTGTCGAGTTTCTTTAACAGGATAGCGTTCGCAGGTAACGCGGTACTTTATGGACGGGGGTGAGTGTATATTCCCACGGAGTGTGGGAATGTGAGGTGCAAAGGGTTCGTGTAACGTTATGTGTCGTTTGTTTACCTATGCAGTACAGTTTTGCGATTTGCGTTGTTAGCTACCGTCAGACTCAGACGTCGTAGTTTGAGGAAAGGGTGGAACAGTTCCTACTAGTGATTCTTTGTAAATTTTCTTTTTAAAACACGTTTGTTAGCTTCTTTTATAATCAACTAAATAACCATATTACATCATTGAAATTAAATTTTAACTGAAGTTTTTTGTATTTAGGTACTTTGGATGATAATACTATGGTAGGTACTGATCTGATGAAGTCAGAATATGAACAATAATTCTCTTGTTATTACTTTTCATTTGATTCACATTTACACTGTATTGTTTTCGGTTTAAAGTTAATACTGTAGATACTTAGATTCAAACGTGAAGTATTGTTTAGTGATGATAATTAACTAATTAAACAATTTAAATGGTAATAAGCTCACCTGCTTTACGTGTTGACTGTTGATACCTACTAAACATTTATAGATACATATTTGACTAAGAAGTAGCCTATGCCTGGGAATAGGGACAACGAAAATATATTTTTTTTGCTATCCCTCTTTAACTTCACTTTGTTTTGAATGACAGATATCCTATCCTATATCCTTTTCTATTCCTCTGGCACCGTGTGTGCGACATTTCATGACAATAAGTTTTTAAGTCATAATAATCAAACAAACACTTTAACGCATTTATTCATTGCTATGCAGTGTTGTATACAATGATATTATATATAAACAAGAGGTAATATTTATTATATACATATTTTAAAATATCATTGGTTGTATACACTCCAATAACCACATCTATGACGTAATCACCGCCGTTACTGCGTCACGGTCCCTACTACGGTTTCTTTGCCTTGACCCATATTTTCACGGTACCCTACATACACCTTATAACATAGAACTTCTTTATATCGTCCACTTATACTTATGTGTACCTAATAGTTGGTGGGTCTATTAGGCATCAAAAGCTCTGAACATCTTTAAAGATTAGTTTCATGTTAGGTTAGGTAATCGCTAGTTAAAAAAAATGAACAGGAAAGGACCCGTGCTCGTGCAGACTATTGGGTTGAAGATCACATCACATGTTTCATGTAATGAAACAGCTCTTTCTAGCAAGAATTTCTGTACCGAAACAAAACGCGTACCTAAATTAGAACTGGAAATATTAAGAAAAAATCGATGAAAACAAAAGAAATGTTAATTTTTTTAGTTTAATTCAAATTAGGAAAGCAAAATAATTAAATTCAACAAACATTTCCTCGCCTTCGGATCGGTGGGGAATCGGCAATTGGGAATAGAGATCACTCATCAATTAAAAACTATTCATATGTTTTATAAAAATACATTCATTGCCAAATTGATTAAATAAGACGAATAATGTGCTCACGGACACTAGAAATAGATACTATAAGGGAAATTTGAAATAAAAGAAGAATACGTACACACAATCTATAAAGCCAAGGCTAACAAGATGGAAGCTAGCTATAAATAAACTGTCGTGGACTCATCCAGGTGTACGAACGACCTTTTGTCCCTGGATAACTACAAGCATATTGCACTTTATAAATATTTAATTAAGTTACCAACCGTTTCTCCCACGGTTGCCACTCATATCTACAAAGATACCTTTATAGCTACTATACTAACAGTTTAAAAAAAAATAAACCTTAGCCCATTGTTTTAACATCCAGTGCAAAGGCACCTATAACTTTGTCACAAATTTAATACCAAAACGGTCATGCAGATTGCAATGTTATGCATTTAGCTTTATGTGATTGTGTTAAAGTTTGAATTTGAATGACAGTAACTGCAAAATGTATTGGTACAGCTTGCGAGTGTCCAACTATGACGATATTCCATGCGATCGCGTGATGAACCTAATAATTAATTTGTGAATAATTACACTGTCATATGTCTCGTTGTGGGGGCGGCAGTGAGAACACACAGTTTGTCTTGTTTTAATTATTAATTATGTAGTTTAATTAATTAGCTGATGACTTGGGAACTAGGGTTAGTGAAATAACAGATGAAAAGCCACTTTGTGATAATTTATCAACAGTGAGTGTCATATCGGATGATTAAGAGTTTCAAAGAAACGCCTTTTTTTATTGATCGTTAGGTAACATTGTATCTGAAAATATTTACAGAGTAAAACTCAAATGTAATTTAAACGAATGAAATGAAGACTATTCATCCTTTTACTATGAACAAGCAAACAATTAAATTGCTGACATATACAGTAGGCACATGTACATGTAACAGTATTTAAGGAAGTCTAATAGTTATTGTTAGTCTTTATAGTCAAATCGAAAAGATAAATTCCATATTGTCATAAAGAACGTAATTAAACCACGATATTAGGAAACTCCCTTCTTTCCTAGAAAGACGACAAACGGATTTTAGATAAAATGAAAAGAAATCTTTTCAATGTATGGCATTTTACAATTTTAAAAATTCATGGTAAAGTTACCTGTACTGAGTATTTTGACATGACAAATTAATACATACTAGCAAATGTTCATTGACAGTCACGTTAAATGGTGACAATACAAGACCAGTGTTAAATTTACTTATTTGTATTTATCCTGATGCTATAAGAAACGGATATGTAGCCTTAAAGACCTACTAATTTCATCATTCAAGCTCCTTAATTTACCGAACAAAAAAGTACAAATTTATACTATGCGTAAGTTCCACACATAACGCACTCATTAAATCAATAACCCAAAATACATAATTATTCGAAACAATGTTATCCGTAATAAAAAAAACAACTCTTTAAACTAAAACTGACACATTCTCTGAATAATAAAGTACCTAATAGATTATCGGTGCGTGTGAACTCAATAAATTAAAAAATAAAATTTGAAACGGGATTGCTTCCTTCCTCCCGGTGCCCATCCCGGATCTCTAAGGGCTATTGTACAAATAACATCTTCGGGATTAAGCACCCTTCACTTTTTTTACCTTAGGAAGTTACGTTTCTCACGATCGGTCAGTGGGGTTTTATATTTGTTACTTTTTCTGTGGATAGTTCATCAATTTGCAGTCATTTCCAGACTCTTAGATTTTGCTTGTAATAATGAAAAGGATAAGCGGTGAAAAAGAATTTACAATCTGCCTGTATGTACCGTAGTTCCTATTGTCAGCTTAAAGAACTCGTTTAATTTAAAAACTTTCTCTGATTACGACATTTATAGTAAGGATATCTCAATCTGAAAAAGTAATTACTGTTCGCAAGGGTTTAAACGCAGATTTAAAAAATAAACTAACTGAAGTTAGAAGCTACAGAAGTTAAAAATAATTGTTCACAATAACAAGCCTGTCTGTCACTACAGAATCACTACGAACAAAAAAACAACCAATTGTGTTATGCCCACGATAATTGACTATGTCTGGGTGTTAGTAATTACCTAAGTCTGGGCTCTGCCTAATTTGTAGTTAGACGGCCGTGTGTAAGGTGGGTGTCTCAAGCTTTTATTATTTTTAATATTAACGTTACAAGTACCTACCGATAATGTATTTTATAGTAAGTGTTGTTTCCCATACACTTTCAATCAAAACGTTAAAATCATACTTCCTTCCATAAACTTTACCGAGGGCATGACGAAATCGGTCATATTTATCTTTATGGAAACGCCCCTCATTTTGGAGTTTTTTGTGACTCAAGGGGCTGTTTCTCACAGGACGGCCAGTTCCTCCTTAATCGATAATTTATTTGTTTACATTGTAAAAATCGTTTTTTGTAAAGGTTTCTTTGGACAATTCCAATGTAATACAAGCTGTAAATATCTACTTGACTTTTCGCAATTTTACTACGAAGTGCAGCCGCACCCTATCAACCAAAATCTTAGTGTTTGCATTTAGGACTGACGAGGAGTACTGACGTTTAACAACGAATTTTCGCAAAGTCATCTATCTAGTGTAATACCAACTAA